GTGTGTGTGTGTGTGTGTATATATGTATATACATAAATTTTTTTCCCTGAATGAAATATAGGCTGTTCCGCTAATGGGACTATGAGGTTGAGAAAAAATGGTTAGATGAAACAATTATTTTTCCCTCTTCAAACACTATGTCTTAGGCTCCATACTAGATCTTTAAATTAAGGGCAACTGAGTCACAGTGATATATATCATAGACACACTAATGACCCAGACATTGCAAATCATTTCTAAGAACAGCCAATGATTCAAAATGAAGCCAACAAATGCTTCATAATTAAGTACATAATAGAATGTGCTCATTTTTGTTTAAAAAAGGGGAGTAGGGGGAAGGGGTGTTCAACTGTGTACCCTTTATATATGCATGGATAGGTATATGTACACACACAGGAAGATGGTGTACCCTGCTTGTATATTATAAATGTTAAGCCTAAAGAGTCCTGCTACTCAACCAAGATTTTTAAATTATTGTTTGAATAATCCACTTGTTAATCATACTTCTTCAATGTCTAAAACAATTTCAGCCACCAAATACCCAACTGCATTTAGAATAAAAAGATGGAAAAGCTCCCTAATGGGGGTAAAAATATCTTCAGGAAAGTTGAAAAACAAAAGGCAAAAAATAACATTCAATCACACTCCAAGTTTCAAGTATTTATAATCAACACAAAAGTCCTAAAAGTAAATTATAAATTTTAATAATGTAAATATCAATTAGTTTTTAAATTTTTATTCATGATAATCTTAATTAAAATTATAAAAACCACCTGTCTTAAAATACAGTATGAGATATTTTAAGTGCATATAATCCTTATACAACTTCAGGATTTATAATCTCAATCTTAGTGTCACATATTTAATGTATTAGATATACAAAACAATAAAATAACTCCCATTGTGGAAACTTTTATCAAACACAAGGTTCACATGAGCCTGTAACAAAACTCCTTAATCATCTGTTGTCATGTTAAGAGATACAGCTAAACAACTAATTCATCCTTTAAAAACAGCAATTAACTAGTACAATTTTCTTTTTGAATTTGATAAATTAAAGACTTGAAGGATTATTTAAAGGCTGAATAAAATTCAGCAGAAACAAAGTTAAAAGGCATTTTGGAAGGAAGCAAATAGTTCAATATTAACAAAACAGTGTATTTGTCAAGTTCTAGTTTTCTTTACACAACCTAATAGGTCTAAACATTTTAAACCATGAATTTTGACTTTAGTAAAATGATATACTGTATCTAATTACATCAAATAGATGATGAGAGTGTCTTGATAAAATCATTTCTTTTCTCTTACAGAAGCACTTTAAAGTGAATCTAAGTAAATACTGAAATGCAGGGTTTTGGACAACAGATTAATTGCAGACATGTCCATGAAATGTCCATTTAATGCCCATTAAATGCTCATAAGAAACAGCATCTGGAAGTATGGTAATTTGAAATGGCACGGTAATAGGAAATGTTAAAAGAAGTGGTATGCGAAATGTTGAAAAGGATAACGACATAATTTTTATTCAAAATCTGAAGCAAAAATACAGACTGGTGAGCTCATTATTTTATGTGTCTGTTACAACTAGGAATCAGCGCTTTCCAAAGATTCATTTTTTCAATGCTTGTTTTTGAAGAGCCTTCTGTTGGACAGGCACTGTGCCAGGTGCTACACAGACAATGATGAATAGCACAGATAAGCTCTGCAGAGAGAGAATCCTTGGACTAAGGTACTCACTACACTCTTAATTAATTTTTTAATTTCTTAAATATAATTAAATATATCTTTTGGGACTGAAGAGAAGTTTTTTCCCAAAAAGTTTACTTTCTAATTATGACTCCTTTGTGTATAAATAAGAAGTCAGTATTTCAGACAAACATATATACTTAATAACTCAAAATTGCTAAGTGGCTACTACACTTGATGTGACACCTATCTCATGAACTCTACTGCCTTGGTATTTTTCCCAAAATATATTCTTACACACAAAACTTTTTAAAACAATGAAACAAATATTTCATCCATTCTTGAATACCTAGTCTTAATAAAATATGGAACAAGTTCCAATTTTTCAACCTGGACATCAGAAACAATTAAACAATTTATTATACATCTGAAGCAGATGTCCTAAATTTTTAACATCATCAATGCAGCAGAAAATTTTGGGAAAGGAACTGTAACTGAATATGATGAAGGTGTTGTAATTAATCTTCATCATCTCTTTGAGCAGGTATTATCTGAATTTCTTTGGCTATTCTTTCAGCTAACGTTCGACTACTTGCAGCAATTATTCTTCGTGACATCAAATCAAATGGTCCACCTAAAATCAAATCAAATATGGAAAAAAGATTATATCTCGTAAAAGTTAATTCATACAAAACTAGTACAGCACTTTTATAGTCGATCATAACATTCAAATACTTGTTAGTCATATAACCACAATATTTAAGCTTTGGCAACAGGTAAGTATGGTTCTAAGCATCTTTTTGAGTAAACACCCCTTGAAGAGTCCGAATTCAAACAGGTATGGAAAATGTCCTTTTCTCTTTCTCTTCCCTCCCCCATCTTTTGTACATTCTTATTACTCCTAAGATCTCTTTTTTTTGTTGTTTAAAAATCTATGGGCAGGAAATGTGGCTTCACTGAATTTTCATACTATTTTCCTTCCTATTTCCTAATTTCTTTGTTGCCTTTCTTCCAGTGTACCTATGAATTCTTTTAACCCAAGTTCACCCTTCACTGAAAAAATTGCATTATCAGTTCATACCACCTATTTAACCTTAGCCCAAGGCAGAAAGTGATGGTGGAGAAAGTGTTCTCAAATACCAACAGTCAACACTGGAGTTCTAAGAGCCTCAGACTCTGGGACCTTCTAGACTTTCTCTACAACCTCTTAAGAATTCCTGACACACACATCTGAAGAGGCTTAATCACTTATTTTGCATCCATTCCCACACTCCCATTAGCTTCTTATCCTTGCTTCTACCTCCCAGTATTTGTTCTTTTGATTTTGCAGAAAGTTTTATACCTTGCTTTTTTTTTCACTTTAAGAGTTGAAGTATAGAGGAGGCGGGGCAAGATGGCAGACTAGGCAGAAGGATTGCACAGACCCTCTTCAACAAAGAAAAGGGAAACCAATTAACACAGACACAGAA